ATCAAACATAAATATAAGAGAATATGCTTTGTCAGTTGGAAATGTGATGAACCATTAAACTACTTAATAGGGATAATAATACTGTATACTAAATGAGACTTATTTATTCCAAGATGATTTAAGCTGAACGTCTGAACGTTTTTTAATATTTTAAATTAATTGGGTATATTTTTAAGTTTAATGGGTCGAATTTTACAATATTGATAATTGACATAGTGTGTGGGTAAAGTGTTACTCATTTTGGGCCAAATGGTATGTTATTAGTTTAAGAATTGAATTGTGTATTAAAATTGCCTCATATTTGTAGTTATAAATTCAACGCAATTATAATTAAGCATGTATAATGAAGAAATTGTAGATGAAGAATACATATAATTATGAATAGATACATTAATTTTATGTTTTTAAATTATTCATCAAAATGTGACATATATGAACATATTGTATATATTATATGCGAATATGTATTTATTTATTTCGAAATGTATATTCGTTTGGAAATTGTGATAAATCAGTCAAATGTTATTTAATATGTTTTAAATATAAACTACTTTTGGGGAATATGAAACACCGTGAAGAAAAATGAGAAGTCATGCTCTAATAATTCTATAAATACACACCATAAGAGAATTTTGATTAACTAACCAAGCAAACAATTACTCACACAAATACAACCCATACTACAATTATTCTTCTGATGTGATCTTCACAGAGACGTACAAAAAATATGTTTACATGAAAGAAAAATACACGTTTTCATACATAATATTTCTTGTGCGTCTGTGAAGGATCACATCAGAGTAAGTAGTTTTATTCATTATTATGTCGCCACAGAGTTATTGTAATTATATTACTTGTGAATGCTCTCTTTCGACAGGAAGTATACTGTTATACCAACTTCTGGATAGAGTATTGACAGAGTACTTATTGTAGAGTGAGATACAAGTTATTTTGCTTAGTAGTTCAACAGAAATGTATATCGTTTCCTATAGGTTTTTGCTATTGTAGATTTTTTTTTTACTGGAATTTTTAGAAAAATCTCTAATTATATAGAAAATTGTTATTAGCTCAAATGAGATCCAATATTGTGTAAGAAATATATTTTAAGTGAGATTTTTTAATTTGAACTATAACGATTTTCCTAATTTATAGAATTGTTATAATTATTATTTCTCATTTGCAATTATCTCAAATAACAAAAAATATCATTTTATATATTATGTATTTCAGTTAAAATTGAAATTTAAAAAGTTGTTTAATTTTATCAAAAGATTTCCAAAATTTGAAATTATGTTACCATATATTGCGGTTTAAATCAAAATTTAAAGAGGAAAATCAAAAATTTTCAATATTTTTGTATGAGTTAATTTGTGTGAATTGGAAAAAAGAAGACGTGTGTAAATATTATGTCCATATATCAAAAACGAAAGTTAAAAAGTCATACTGGTTGGTTGAAACAGTATTCCCAATAAAAACATAGAAAATTGTTGACATTGAATATTTTATAACTATCCTATCCTATATAAAATAAGAGTTGCTTCGATTATAAACATACTTCTTATATTTTCTCTTCCAACTTCAACGCCTGATAAGATATTAGAAAAATAGAGAATACCCAAGAAAATCGTTATGATGAAAACGGATTACTGAAAATTAATCCACCACCATTGAACATGAGATTTGGTGTGGAAGAAACACCATCACTTCCTCCAATTTCTGAATCAGAGATTGAGGAAACTAATATATGGGAAGAGATGAATGACTTTCTCAGCAAATCAACTGTGAATGCCATCGAGGTTCCTTCTGAGGTAATTTAAACTTTTAATTATTCGGTTTCATTGATGATTTATGTATTATTGGATGTTTATATAAATATGTAATATCTGCAGCCTGATGAAGAAATATCGACTGATGATCCAAAGGAACGTTGCAAAAAAGGAAAACACGATCTCCATATAGACCTGGAGATATGTTTGAAATGTATAGAATGCGGTTTCGTTAAGACAGAGATCCGATACCTAGATACATCTCCGTGGGTAAGCTGTTAATAATCCATTAATACATTGATTTGTTTAACTAATATGTTTGAAGCTAACAACATTATATGTTTTCGAATCTTACAGGCACATAAGAATAAACGTGGAAGGAGAAACTTCTGGGTTTAGCTAAAATTATCTCTGTTTTTTTTTGTACCTTTATTCTTATGGAATTATCTATCTTTATTGGAATTATCTAAGCATGTTGCTACAATAAATTGTATTATATTGGTACAAATAAAAAATAATTATTTTCCCAAATCACTTTCTCATATATGTGTATTGATTCGTAAGATTATTGTTCATTTGCGTTTAAAAAAAAAAAAGAAAACCGCACTCTTCATAGTCACCAATCATAGCCTATAAGCTCATTTGCTACATTGATTATAATCCACAGACATTAAAACATCGATAATTTATATAATATTTTACACTCAACTCTAAATGTTATGAGAAACGCTTAACGTCAGTTGTCAGCACTGAAATTAAAACGTCAACCGGAATTAATTTCAATTTACTCTTACACGTAAAGTTGTTAATAGATGAATAGTGAGCAGTGGACCAAAAAAAAGAAAGATCAATAGTGATCATTGGATGAAATTGCCTAAGAAGCGTTATAGTTGCATCGTTTGATATAGTTAGAAATAAGCAAATTAATAAAGGTAAGTAATAAATGTAATGTCGAAGTCTACTGACATAAATCGTTATGGTACTAAAATTGTCATAATATGAAAAATGGCCGTTAATATATTGTATTAGTATACTTTGGCAATGTCTTATGATTATGGAAATGTATAATACTCGATAGAAGAAAATGTCTATAAAGGAAGTAACCTATATATAGATAGTATATGTTATATCTAAAACTATACATATATACATGTAAAAAATATTTCCAATAAATACAATGATATTAAATGACATAAGTAAATTGGCAATTAAACATTACCATAAATAAATACTAAATAAGTCAATAACAAATATACGAAAGTAGATTCGAATCCATCCCAGTTTTATTGGAAAATATTACATAATGGGAATGTTTAACAGTTACGGGAAAATATAAGTACATAATAAGGATTAAAATTATGGCCAGGTCGGATCTCCATAGATATCGGTAAAAGGAAGCCTGACAAAAAAATAATTTCAAGTTAACAATTGAAAAAAAACTAAACCCTAAACCATTATATATATTATATATATTAATACCAATTAGAAAAATTACCAGTCAAGAAAATCAGAAACTTCTTTTATGTGAGGATTGAAAAGTATTTCAGAATGATCTCCAGCATTCCTTATGTGATATCTCCCTGTATGATTTTAAAAAATAAAGAGCACACATGTTAGAAGCCAAATTATCATATTAAGAAAGTGGAATTAAATGTTCCTAGTCGATTATAAAATTTAATTACTAACCTTCCGAATCATAGGTCAGACGAAACATGCACAAAGTCAAGACTGTTTCATAAGTACCTATGTCTTCACACTTTTTCCAGATATCCAGAGCAGTCTTTCCAATGAGTGTTATGTCCATATCAACATAACTAAACCAAAAAATTATGTTACCACAACATTAACAAAAATACATATGTACAATAAGACAAATAATTGGACTTTACATATCTTATAATATAAAACATCTTACTTCATGTCCCTTATCTGAATATCCAATTTGTGAGAAGGTCCTAAAATCATCTCGTAGGGATCATCAATGTCAGTACTAGTTTATCATCAACATAGATGATTACGCCGATCAAGTCTACAAATAAAAAATTACATTACACAACATTTATACTAATTCTTAACTTGAATAAAGGTGAGAAATCTAAACGATAGAGTACTCAGTAGGGAAATTCCCTCAGACAATGGCATCAAATGGCATAAAATCCATCATATGCTTATGATTGACTTGAAAGGTCTTATCTACAACAGTATCGGCGTTCATGTTGATGAAGTGGTAGTTTATAGTATTTCTGAATGATCCGAACGCATTGACAACGTTGAAGAATTTGACATAATTCCATTCTCCTTCTTTAAACTTTGGACCGAGCGAAGGGATAAGATCCTGATCTATCGAAGCTTTTATTTTGTAGCCCTAAATTCGTGAACCAAATAATCATTTAAATTCTTCATGTGTTTAAATGTTCATAACATACAACAGAATAAAAAACTTCAAAAAGATGAACTTACATTTTCGTCACCGAGAATAAGATGCAATTCCTGGCGATGAGTACGGTAGTTGAAGTGTTCCCAAACTCGTAGAACTTTTATAAGAATTCTGGAGTCAGTTTTTGTGGGAGAAAGATACTCAAAGGTACAATAGCGATGCATGTTTGAGGAAAATGATTGTTTTCCTCAACCTTTAGGTTTGTTTTCGTTAAGATGGTGAGACGTTTTTTTACTTGGTCCTTTATATGTAAAGCAAAGCAAGTATAGGGTTTGAAAGGTTGTGTCGTTTTGTAAAATTAGAATAAATTGCAACCTTTGACATTTGTTGCAATACGTGAATTACGAACAAACCAAATTGGTTACATTCGATGCATATATATATTTAACTTTTATATTGATTAAATATATATAGAAAATACGTAAAGATGGTAAAAAAATGTGATATACTTAGATACAAGTTAAACAATTATTTGAATATATATATTTATTTAAATTAAACTACATTAATTGAAACTCTCGATGGAAGTTACAAGCCTGAAATAATATTAGGATTTCCAATTTTAATTCTATTTTTTTTTATGCTAATGAATTAAAATGTATAACATGGTGGACTGACGAACATAGTATGCAAAACCCAAACATATTTTATTAATAATTCAAATTCGAGAAACAATTAACTAACCAGATCCAAAAATATCCAAATGCTCAAACTACTAAACCAAATATTGGAAAAGAGAAAGTTATTCAATAAAAAATTGAATAACAACAAATTCATAAACTCCAGAATATATGGGATCACATCTTCCCATTTTTTCCTCTCTCTTTGCCAACAACTTTAACACCACCACGTCCTCGAGTTCGTCCCTTTGCAACACCTTCATTGGATTCACTTGTAAGAAGAACGTTCACCAAAACACCATCACTCTTCAGTGTATCTTTATCAATCACTTCATTAGCATATGTTGTTTCCACACTATTGCCACTATTACATGACTTCTTAGATGATGAGGATGAGTCGACTGAATCTTTAGGATCATCACGCTCACGCTTTGATAAAGGAGTTTTGATATTGCCAGAAACATCATCCGAAGACTCTTGGCTATGTATGTTCATCAGTGATGCCTATAAATGCAAAATTTTCAGATATATTATTGTCCCATAAATATAAAAATACATACACAACCATATTAATTTTACCTGACCGCCAGACATAAGTAAACTCTGATCACCCCCATCTTCAGATTCATTCACATCATCAACGGTGGTAGTCAAAATCTGATTGCCTTTCCAAACCTTTCCGACCTTGTATGTATTACTACCACCATAGAGATTTTCTTTCTCAACACAAATTAGAAACTGAAATTTTTAAAATGTATAATACCTCATCGTATGTCCCTTTTAAAATTTCATCAGCAGATTGGTTAACAATAAATCAAAGAGAAAACATTTGATCTTGCTCGTGTTGTCCATTACACAAAGATGAAGTTTGTATCTACAATATAATTTAAATGTAAACATGTGATTATATGTTTTTGGCAAACAATTTGTTATTTAGTAATTTATAAAATTTGGTTACCTCGCACTGACAGATGAAACTTTGGCATCACATGTTTCACATGAATAAAGCTTCTTAGTTTTATCACAAAATTTCTCGTCTTCGCGTTTGGGGATTTTGTAGACCTTTTTCCCACACTTAGTGCAAACCAAGTAAAACCATGACCAATCTGTATCAACCGCGTATACAGTACACATGATTTTGCATTTCCCAACCTGAATATTTAACAATATAACAGTCACAATAATTGCATAAACTATATTGATAAATTAATCATAAAAAAGTTAAAGTTTGAGTTATACCTTTAATTTAGTCGATACCATATATAAAATTTTATACCCTTTAAGTATTTTATGTTTTTAGTTTTATATTAAAAAATTATTTCCCAAAGACATATCATTTTATCAACATATAATAAAGTTATTACAACTTTGTTATATACCTCCAGATAATCTTGCAGTTCAGCAATAGTCACCATTGGAAATTGATCAAAATTACTCTCATCATCATAAGAAATCATCTGATGTGGCTTGCTACTCAAGAAAGTAATATTTCTGCCATTTGCAGGTAAACTTCATATTGGAAAACAATTATTATTAATAATCATATTGTCTGCATTTTTGTTTGATATATAAATAAATTGTTTACCTATTTTTGAAATCAATGACATCTGGATCGTTAAGATCTATGAGCACCTTAGAGGTTTGAAAAAAACTGGTAATTTGACGTTCACCTATGATCATTTAAACAAATAATCAAAATGCATTGTGTTTTATGATGAAACACCAATTTTGTAATTAAATATTTTTACCTTTAAAAACATTGATTTTTCCAAAACGGATTACAATGATGACACCACGTTCGCCAGCATTCTGACAAGCCGAATAGACTTGCTCGCCAAATTTACCCCAAAGTGTGCATGGTAAGCGCTCCTCTCTACATATAATACAGTTCAATTAGAGTAGAGTAACTATTTCAAAGAATAAAAATAACGTAAATTTCATAAAAAATAACGTTAACCGTATATACTCACTTCGCATTACACAAGTCGAACTCAAGCTTGCTTGTGTCCTTGTTCATGACAGGGATTGTTTCAAGTTCACGTACACTTTCAACTCGTCCAATAACATCTGGTATTTTGAAAAGTGACGTCAAGTGAATACATTTATAAATGTAATAAACTGACTATATAGATAAATGGAAACTCACCGATCAAAAAACTTGTACTTGTGGAATCGTTCAAGATTGTATCATAATTTAAGAACTCAAAAAATCGACTGTCAGATCGATTTGCACTTTTGGTGACAACGGTGGATGAAATGAAGGACATCTTGAATTGATGCTTTGTGGCCCGCTATTGACCGGACGCCTGGTTCAACAAAAAGTTCTCGATGAACTTCCATTCACCGACAACCATCAACCGCTCAAATCGATGCAAAAGGTTTTTCTTGACTGTGGCGTGGATTTTGGTACCCTGAAAATAAGAAATGTTAATAAGTAAACCAATAATAGCTAGTAGTACGAAAATGTAATTACACATTCACTTGATCATACCATTTCATCTGCGAGAATTATTTCGAGAGACTCTCCACTCTTAGTCTGGTATTGCTTCCAAGTGTGAAGCACCTTTACTTGCACCTTCCACCCAGTCTTGAATGGCTTTAAGCCAGCCAAAAGGGTTAACCTCATGTTGGAAGCCATTGCAAATAATTGAATTGAAGTAAAAGTTGAGAAAGTTGTAGTTGATGTAGAGTGAAATGGAATACGGTAGTGTCGTATTTATAGTGAAACATTAAAGGGTTTTCGCAATACCGTTGAGCTGTATGTAATCTGGCGGCCAAGTATATTTTTCTCAATTCAAATTTAACACAATATTGATTGGAAATAGTGAATCCTATATTTTTTGTAAAGTAGTTGTTATTGAGTATCTATACGGTGATCCGTAATAAATGGGATAGTATTCAATAATAAACTAATAGAATATTCTCATAGATTGAGATTTAGAAATAGCTCAAAATTAATTTTCCGGATGTTATACAATGCCGTTTAGAGGAAAGATACATTGGCGGCTAAGTATATAAGTTCAAATTTAAATTAATACAATTATTTGGCAAATAAGTAAATACGTCATTTTTGGAAGTTGTTATTATTGTGTTAATAATCGGGTATGCGAGAAAAAAGTTTTGAAGATTTGTATATTTTCTATTATATTTTGAATTCAAGATTCTCTCATGCGTAAAATGTTCTTAATATGTAAATATATTTATTGCGATATATTTTTCATTTATCCCGACTATTAAGAGCTAAATATTTCAAAGAGATTACATCATCAAAAATAATAAATTGAATAAAATAAGAAACGGGTCAATATTAAAGGATCCGCGTCCTTTTAAACGGGTCAAAATAAAGAACGCGGATCCTCTTTGGTTTCAGTTTTTTTGTTTGTTCGTGGAATACATTTTTTACAATGGCATTTCATGTAATATAACACGTAACACCGAGGTCAATTTCCTAAATGTACTTCTCATTTAATATTATAAGATGTGTGGCTATGTGATAGAGTATAATTCATTTAGCTAGCTATTATTTTTCAGAAATAAAAGACAAAAATTACATTAGATACTTTTTTTTGTTTTTAGTCACTAGACATTTTGTAACATCCATGTTTGGAAAAACCTTACCAAACGGGAATATTGGTTGAAAGAGTTATGAGTTATGTCAAGTAGAAATAGAGAAAATCCAAAAAGTTGAAAAATAAGTTTAGCCGGAGAAATTGGATTTAGTCGCGTGATTCCAAGCTAAGTCCAACATTCGTCGAGCCAAAACGTCAGCTGACTATGATTTTAGTTTAGCTGGATTTTCTGACAAGCCGAGTTTTTTGGAACTTGGTCAAAACTCAGACAAGTCTGGTCGGAGTAGACAGCCTTTGTCAGCTTCGGATGTGCGTGAAAGCGGTTATCGGGTAAAGCGCATTCGGGAAAGAGTGCAGGAACAGTTATGGGATTTGGCCGAGCGAGTGATAACACGGGAACAGTTATTGTCGGGTAAAAGATGCGCGAGAGCGGTTATTAGTCGAGAGAGAGTGCATATTGACGCGGGAACAATTTCTGGGCAGTTTTCTGCGGAAAAACAAGTGAGCATATATATTAAAGGCTTCTGACTCATTTTCTCTTCTTCGCGCGACCAAAGAACTAATAAAGATTGAGAGAAACAATTTTAAGAGAAGTTAGCCGAGAGAAATTATCTGTAGCCGAGAGATAACAGATTATAGTCGAGAGTGACTACAATTCTGTTGAGCGTGGTCCGGATTCAATCGAGCATTCGTGGGAACAAGTCTGAGCGATCGATAATTTGTCTTTACTGAATCTGTCCGAAAAAATCTAAGGTGAGTGCGTGACCGTGGCTATTAGTCTTGGTCGTTTTCATACATAGATTCTTAGTTCTGATTGCTTGCTTGTGCGCTTGTTTGTGCGTGTTATGCTTATCATGTTATATTCTGCTGGCTAACCGTGATAGCCGATCCGTTTTATCCGGTAATCTAGACCAAGCAATGCGCTTGGGGCTGTGATGCTCGCCGAGACTTGTTGGTTGTGGGAAGATTGGATGGTAAGCGCGGTTGACTATGTACGGCTAGTTTTCTGTTGTGATAAGCATGTTTTGGACTATGTGGTCGATGTTTGTTGATGGTTCTGATTATTAGTTCGGTGATACGGGATGACTGCTCTCACTTAAATTTTCTCTTGCTTCTGCCTCTTTTTGTGGATGCAGGTAGTAAGGATGTCTGATCAGCTCGCACAGACTAAGACTGTGAAGGAAGGGATGGTAGGATCTGGGTAGTTAAGGTCTAGTTTTTAATGTAATAACTTATATGCAAACTGATCATTGTACTAGAACCTCGATTTAATTCAAGTATTTCTGCTTTATATACTTATGCTCGATAACTGACTTGTCTATTGATCCAATGCACGGAAAAGTTAAGAAAATGTTTAGTAATCAGTGTTAGTTAAAAAAAAAAATCCAGGTTAGGGTGCTACAAGTTGGTATCAAAGAGCGGTTGGTTGTAGGACAGAGTCTAGCTTAAGTGGGTTAGTGGGTAAACCATCCTTCCAATGCCTGAAGTCCTGCGGTAAAGACTGATAATTTCTGTGGAATGTTAACTTAGCTTCCCGGCTAACTTAATAGAATGTTCTGATCCTTTGCAGATGGCAAGGGGTATCTGTAGACAGCATGGTGATGGTGAGAACTCTGCGGCTAGGAATGCCGAGGGTGAGAATCAGGATCAGGTTGATCCGAATGTGGGCATTGCTGGAAATGCCGAGAATGTGGCTGCTGCTGCTGTGGCTGGGGTTATTCCGAACGTTGCTGCTGTCCCAGTTGGATTGGAAGCTGTGTTGGGTTTTAACACAGGTGTTGGCAAGACTGTCGGCTGTTGCGGCTGTCCCTGTGACACCACTGCCATTCGTGCAAGTGAATCCGCCGGTTGTAGAAGTGGATGAGGGAAATGCTGGTCCGAGGGTGCCATCTTAACTGAAGGTGATGGACCACATGCAGAATGTGGGAATGAAGTTCTTTCTGGGTGGAACACAGCCAATTGAGGCAGATGACTGAATCGACCGTTAGGAGAGGAACTTTGAGTTGATCCGCTGTCTTGAGTAGTACAAGAAGACATTGCTGTGTGCACACTTGGTGGCACAGTGCGGTTTGACAAGTAAGGGAACGAGCGTGTTCGTGGACTGATTTTTGTTGGTTGTTTAAGGCTAAGTACTTCCCACCTGAGGTGAATTATCGACTGGAGAGTGCCTTTCTGGATCTGCGCTAAGGAACAAAGACGGTGCAGGAGTATGAAGCAGAGTTCAACAAGCTGAAGAAGTTTGCGGGTTGGGATAATGGGAAGTGAGAGCAACCAGATTAAGCAGTTCGTGCGTGGGCTAAGGATCGATCTCCATAAGCATTGTGAGATGCAGGTGTATCAGACTTTTCCGAAGCTGGTGGAAAAGGCGGCTCAGTTGAAAGTTACTTTTGCGGAGGAAGGTAAGTTGTTCGGTAATGCTACCGCAACTGGGCAAAAAAAGGATGGACCGTCAAAAAAATCACATGCGGGTCACAACGCGAGTTTGACCAGTAGGAAAGGGAAATGTGCAAGCTGGCGTGCATCTGGTGCTTGTCTCAATTTCAGGAGTATGAAGCACAAAGTGACGGATTGTCCGGAAGTGGACAAACATAGAAAGAATCTAGGGAGCGAATATGAGGGGAAGGTTTGTGTCCACTGCAGAGAAGCTGGGCACATGAAGCTGAGATGTCCACACCTGATGCAAATGGTGCAACACACTAGAAAAAGGCCGAATGAGGGACTACCACCTCCGCCAAAGAGGCAGTCTGTGATGCTGCATATTTATGCAGTGGCTGAGGATACTGTGGAGGATCCAATTACTTCTCGTCTGATCGCTGGTAAGTCCTATCACTTGCTTTCGTACAAAAGAAATATTTGTGGGAAATTTGCGTATTGCTTGCGGTAGCTTAACATTCTAGGTGAATGTGTATGGATCCTTGTTATGGATGAAGTGGCAACCTATGTTTTGTTTGATTTTGGAGCAACTAATTGCTTTGTGAATCCGAACGTGGTTGGAAAGGGTGGGTTTTGTACAGAGCCGAGGGATAACTTTGGCTTGGTCCAAGCGACTGGGGACATGTTATGTTTACCCTCTGTAAAGTCAAGAACGTGTCGGTGATGATTTGCAGTGTGAACATGCCAATGGATTCGGAGATTTGCCAGGGGAAGTCATACGATGTGATCCTTGGTATGGATTAGCTTAGGAAGTACCAGGCACATCTTGACTGTCATCGTGACCAGATTCGGTTTGAGATCGATTTTGGAGTGTTAAGGTATCAGACCGACCAAGGGAAGTTTGATGTTTTTTTTTTGGCACTGCTGGCTGAGCGAATGGTTGGGAAAAGGTGTGAGGCGTACCTGGCTACGATCACGACCGCCGAGGTAAGACCGGATGCGGAGTTGGGTAACATTCCAGTTGTAAGCGAGTTTGCGAATGTGTTAAAAGCATTACAGGTTTACAGCCTACGCGGTCAGATTTGTTACCATCGAGCTTGAGTCTTGAACGGCGCTGATATCCAAAGCACCCTAACTGATGGCTCCGACTGAGATGGCTGAACTGAAGAAGCAGTTAAACATTTGATGGAAAAAAGGTTTTTCCGACCCAAGCAGTTCGCCGTAGGGTGCACAAGTGCTGTTTGTAAAGAAGAAGGATGGGAGTGTCCAGCTGTGTACAGACTACCGTGGGCTGAATGATGACACCATATTTGTACACAATTTCACCATTGATTCAAATGCTTTTTCAAAAGTTTAGGGTTTGGTCAAATTCACCAGTCCCGAAAAAGACTCTCACCCACGGTAAACATGCATTTTACCTGCCTTGGAAGATTTTCACCCCCGGTGGACCAAATCCAAGCCTCAAGGCCCAACATCAAAGCCCATTTCGCCATTCCTCTTCAGAGAAGCCCTAAATGAGACCCGGAAGACCTTAGGACTTATAAATACATTTTTAGCAGCCCTAAACAGGTGTGTGCTACTGTAATGAGATTTTGAGCCATCAAACTCTGTTTTTATATTGTTAGGCGATGGAGAAGGGAATTCTTTCCTGGATCCATTGTTCTTTCTCCTTTTCTTCTAATTAAATTTTCTGTTT